CTGGGTAGCAACAATAGTGCTGGCGGCAGCTGACAAACTTGCTCCCACTCACAGACTCACCTCAGCATTGCTGCTTGCTCTGTCAGCAGATACTTAAACAATACATGTCTGCATTCTAGCTTGATACCGGATCTTTGGATTTAGCCTATTATATACCTAATTCTAATCATCGTTGTAAGACAAAGACCAACTGTAAAATTTCTTGGAAGGTTGGAAATACCAATGACAGGAATCATGCAACCACATGTTCCAACGCATGTGGGCTCTTCATATCCACTTCTACAAAGTGCCATCAATGTATTCAGCGATTCTATCTTTCCTTGACTTTAAAGGCGGTTTGCCAGCACTTTGCAAAGGAGGGCCCTTTCTGTCAGCCTTACGAATATGACAAAAAGCAGAAATAAGAACCTATTCAACTATAGTGAATTTTGTTAATACAGAAAGGGAAACTACGGGGATATAGAAGGATAATCTACATAGGTAAACATGTTTATAATAGAAACCCATATTTAATAAGTAGTTCATTTGTTAATGACAACTAAAAAAAAAGGATCATTACCACTGCAGTGGAAATAGCATACTGTGATTATGGGCTAATAAGAAAAACTTAATTATTATAAGTTTCATGTCTCAATAAGAAATTACAATGCAGTTCATTAAAAAACAGATAAAAACAAGGAAAAAATACATCTGCACTGTTACTTCTATTGTGTTACCAACAAGAAATAATAAGAAATATTCTTAAAAAAGGCAAAGGCTTGTTAAATATGTACCACAATTTTTATCATGTTCATCATGAAGTCAGAATTTATCAGACTGTTAAGGTAAAAACAGACAGGGAAAACATTGTTTTTTATATATATATAATTTTTAAAATCTGAAATATAAAGAATATTATTTTTAAAATGGAATTTAGTTTGGAAGCCCCACAGTTGGAACCTCACAGATTTATTTCTTGCTGTATTTTACACTGCAACAAGCAACCAGTAGGTGGAGCAGACAACATAACTTATCACGTGATAAGGGCATGGCCTTGACTGTTGGTTTTTTTTCATAATTACAGGAATCATGTAGGAGAAAATTCCTTCAAACAAAAGAAGCTCATGTGTGTAAGATGTTACTTGACTAGTAATTGATATTACTGGCATATATAGCAAGTTGATTAAAAGCTCAATATTTTATAACCACAAAGTTTTAGAGCTCATGCTTTATTTCTCCAGACTTTATTTGGAAACTAACTTAATTTAAATCAAATAAAAATTTGCTTTCTTTTTTCAAGCCCACTCTTATGCCTACAAATGGGTTATATTTGTGTTGCATGAATATTACTGGAACTATAGAAAAAAAATATGTATCTGTTTTTCAGTAAAGCAAAAAACTGTTTTGAAGTTGGCAGGATGCATAACATTGTACTTTCACAGAAAGACAGTCAATAATTATATTATTAATATAAATTATTAATATATTATTAATAACAGTAAATTAACATTTACATTACTACTGTCAGTAATTATTGATTATGCAAATATCCTAACTTGTTTAACTTTCTTTTAACTTCTTTGCTAAAATACTAAAATCCTTTTATTCAAATGAACTGCTTAGTTCTTATGTGGATTAAAATGCTTGTGTAAATGCAATGTATTTCTACAAGCAGCAATGGGAAATAGTTGTATTTGGGTAAGTTTCTATGGCAAAATACACTCAGTCAACTGTTTGTAAAAAATATAGGAAAATTGTATAGTATAATACCATACATTTTTTATCATCCCATGATTTCCCTGAACGTCAGTTTCATAGCAATGGTACTTAATACACACACCTCCCCCCCAAAAAGGTGGGGAACTGCAGACAAAACAACTCAAATGTAGGTATGCCTATATAATATTTTGTAGGCAGATCAAACTCCTTGTTCCTGAGTTTAAAGCATGCACACACTTATTCTGCCCATATTTTGAGCTGACCAGAAGCTGTGTAACTGCATTAATTCTTGAGCTAATATACCGTGGCTCTCAACAGGGCTAATTAGTTTGGGTTCAGCCCCATGTTATAGCTCCAGATTGGCTTGGAAAGTAATCAAAGCAAGCTCACATCTGTCTATATAAGACTATGTGTATATACCTGGTACCAGCAACAACAAATAATGCATACTAATTCAGTTTTATATCCATGTCTTCCTCTTTTTTTTTTTTTCTTTATAAAGGTAACAGTTTATGGAAGAAATAAATGCTTGCATAGCAAGTTAATTCATGAAAAAGACAAAACATGTTGACTTCATCATAGGCCGTGCTATTATATACATACTAGACACCCCTGTACATTCATGACACTAGCATTCTTAAGTTTTACTTTTTGAAATGTAAAATAATGCTAGCAATTAGGAATGGGCACAACCTTATATGTGTGTGTGTATAAAATCTGTGGAATAAGAAGAGCAAATTCTGCAGTCAATAAAGGATTCATAGACTTTAAGGCCAGAAAGGATCACTGTATCATCTGCTACATTGTGCAACACCAAGATGTTTGATCATCTCCCTGTTTAACCTGTAACACGCTTTTGAGATGGGTTTCTGGGCTTCAGCTTGTAGGGAGCAGAAAATGGAACCTGACATGCCTTTCTTTACTAACATTGAGGAGCAACAACTCTTTAATTCCTTTTGGTCAATAAGTAAATACCCTTTTCTCACCCTTTTTGCCTGTAGTAAAACAAAAAGGTTCAAAACTATAGGATATATTTGAAACAATTATTGCAAATACAGATTTTGCAATGCCGTCCATATAAACTGCCTGAACATCTGCAGCCTTGATGCATGAGGTGGCTCAGCTCCATCATTGCACCTCGTCATGCATGGCAGGAAGGGGAGGAGACTGTAGCAAACTTTAGCAGATCATCTCTACAAATCATTGGGCCTTAGTTAATACATGACTCTACAATAAGTCTAGCTCATCAACCTCCTCTTTTCATTTGCTATGCCCCCTGCTTACAAATTACATTTTTTCCTTAACTCACTCAAAAGTGTTGACTTTTGCTGCCTGATTCTAGTGAGACTTGAATGGACCTTGCTCAGTAATCCAATTAACTATCTTTTGAAGACAGCAAGACGCAGCTGTAGTCAGGTCAGAAGACCAGGCATAGAGAGAGTAAAATGTCAGACACAGAGCATCAAACCAGTAAATTCTTCACTGAAATAATTTGCCCTGTATCTTAGCAAGATATCAAATTCTGTAACTATGTGCAATTGTGGAATACAGACTTTAATTGCAATAAGTAGTTTACTTCATATATGTATTTGCTGCTTTTCAGGTTGTCTGTAGGTGTTGCATTGATTTACACTCATTCATGTTTCAAAATACTACCTGCAAAAGAAGATGGTTCTTGGAGCATAGTTCTGTGATAAAGGAAAATTTCTGTGAGCTGTGAGTCCCAGTATTCACAAACCATGTCAGCAAGCAAAACGAAGCATATTTTTGTTCTGCAAAACACTGCTAGTTAAATTCTAATTCTGTAAAATTAGAAACCCAAATTAATCAGAACGTAATAGTTACTGCTGCCCTCTACCAGCAGTCCTCCAGGTGGATGGCTGAAATAAGGCACTACTTGCCATTCCTTAAAAATGTGTTACAGTTTGCTAAGCCAGTATCATGGGAAGTGAATTAAGTTTACTAAAATCTTTTTAGACCACAGGTCACTCAATGTCTCTAACCAGACAACTTTTGTACTCCAGGTAAACATACTAATGTTTATGCATTTGTTCACATAAATTGTTGTTTTCAAAACAAGAATTCCCAATTTTCTACAGTTTAAAACAATATAAAAACACCGTGCAGATTATTCTTAATATTCTAGATCTATGTCTGGAAAAATTAATTATTGTGAGCTAATTTCAGTTATTAACTAGCTCCCCTGTCTAAAAGCCACTCAGAAAACTTTTAATGCTATTTTTACTAATATTTTACTATGCTATTTTTTTTGCAAATTAAATTACTTAAATTTGATTTATAAATTGAGTTTTCATAACTGATATCCAGTTAATTAAACTATACTTCTATTTATTGGACAGATCACAAATGATTCCCAAACAGAGGGAAAGATTAAATATTCTGTCACTAAGCATCATGGTATTTTTCCTGTGTTCTTTAGGATTAAGAGTTCTTACACACAGATTACATTTAACAACCTATGAAAAGTAAGCACTTAGTTCATACTAGTGTACCCTGATTGCACATTAATTCCTTACTCATATGAAGAACAACCAGTCACCAAACACTCATGGACACAAAATATTTTTTTTTTACAAAAGTTCGCAAAAGGGGACTAAAAAATGGCAAACCCACAAGCTTTACCAATCATATCAATTTTGTGTAAGATATACCTACTGCCATATTCACCTGTCTGTAAAGCAGCTTACATAAGAAAGCTTGAAAAAATATACCCCTTTTATCAATACAAAACAAATTAATCAGTAAATATTAAAAATTTATGAGGCATTTCTATGTGAAAACAATCATGCTAAATAAGCTGATTCAGGCAATTCTAGGAAAAGCTTTAGCTGAAAACCTGCATTTACAATCTATCCTAAAAACAAGCAGAACACAGCACCAATCCAAGCATTAGCTCAATTAAAAAAAGGAAAAAAAATGAAATCCCTTCTCAGCTTAATAACTTGTTAGTTCTTGACAAGTGCAACAACACAACAATAAGCCAGTCAAAATGAGTTTTTAAAGTGAGGTTATGCCCTTCGTGTTGTGTTATCACAGTGGCAGATCAAACTGCTGACTTGGACTCTTTCTGCCAGCAGTGCTGATGCTGCCTCTATGAAGCTGCTGTCACGGAGTAGTCATGGTACCTGCTCTTGCCTATAGAAAAGCACTAAATTGAACTCGAAGTAGTGTCTTTGTGATATCTTTTCAACAAGTCATGTCCCATTCAGCCTGCTAGTTTATCTCTGTCAGGCTGGGGGCCCAAGTGGTTTGCATGAGCTGTCAGGGACAGGTATACCAACCTGCTCAGTGCTAAGGAGGTAATGCATCTTTCGGGCTTGGTATTTCTTTTCCTTTTCTTTCTTTTCTAGGTCTTTCCTTTTGTCTTCCTTTTCCTTCATTTCTGCGTACTCTTGGAGTTCATTCCTGTAATAAAATGTCTGCTAATTATATTACAACAATAAAAGAAGTGCTAATGTTTTATTTTACTTTAACCCTTTTATAGCTTCACAGTGTTCTGCTATTATGTAGTAGCACTATACTGACACCACTGGAATGCAAAATTACACTTCATCAGTCCCACAGCAGCAGGATTCTACACAAATATAACTGTGAAGAAATAGGATTAAAATTATAAATCTATGATGAACAGCATATTAGTTCATATTGCTTACTCTTTTGAAGAATATGTCAACCTATGTATTTTTATAGCTTTAAAACATAGCATTCATAGATGTCCTTTTTTTGTCTTTAAGAGTCATTTTAGTTTGAATTTCTCTAAGCAGAAGTTATTATAATTTAGTGATTTTCCTTCAAATGCTTTCATATTCATGTTCACTTATGTTTCAGCTACTGCCTTGCAACACCTCCTTCTGATCTGCAAACAGGAGACCTTATGGAATGAGAGAGGATAGTAGACACAGGATAAGAGTTGACATTCACTCCTAGATCCCTGAGCCTTTTGTAAGGTTGAGAATGTAGGCATAGAGAAGAACTGGATGTAAACTTTTCATGCGTGCAACGTCCTTAAGAGGAGTGGCCATAGCATTAGGCTTCTTGCATAGGTCACTTTCTACTCTGGTCTGATAGCAACGGTACAGGCCACCACAAGAAACAAGAATGTAACTGCCTCGTGAGCCACTGCATGACAGAGGTTTGCAAACACATAGTGTCATCTAAATGGGTGGGTCTGTGTATTCTAATAGGTCGTAGAAAATTCTTTCATTGTAAAAGAAATAAGGAACTGTACCTAATACCAGCTCTTGAAGAATGGAGAAAACTCATTATTTTAAGTGAACATTTAGAGGAAAACTTTAACAGAAAACGGATGTAGATTTCCTCCTCAATGGCTTTTTTTCATAGAGCCAGGCTTGCCATAAATTATGCAAACAGTGGAGTGAATTAATGTTCTATATGAAACAAAATTCCGTGCTGTTGTGCACAGTGCACGTGTATGGAATTTTTTTGACCCAGTTAAAAAAGGTTAGTTTGATTAACATTTGTTATTTTTGTTATTAAGAAATGGCTAGTTCAAATTAACCTGTGTGCCAAAGACACCAAGCATATTCAGTCAAGCATTTACATTGTTTAAAAGTTAATTGAGTGAATTCTAGTCTTCATTTTTTTTAAGCATGTGTGTATATGATAAAATAAAAAGCAAAGAAAAATATACTATTCACATATCTGGATAGTTCAAATATTCCAGCAAAACAGATTATTTAGAAAGGTCCACATTAATAGACTCAGTTGTTTCAATGAGTACTACATAAGACACTCCAGGACAAGGCTCAAATCCTGTCAAAATATGCACATGAATAAGTTTCCTGATATGAATAATCCCATGGGAAAGTCATATTGCTCCTGAAAGTGTTGTGACTCAGACTTATTCTTAATATTTTAATTATCAGAATGTTAAATTAGTTCATCAAAATATGTGAAAGAGCAATAATTGCTTTATAAATATGAACACTAGGAAATCAAATTCTTAAATAAAAGTTGCAATGTAGAATTTTTATTTGTTTCATATTATCTTTCAAGTTTTTATCAACTAAAATATTAAGTAATTAAACATGTTTTATTTCAAATGTAAAATAAAAAATAGAATGAAAAGGAAATAAATTAAAGATTGGAAAAGATGTATAGGTCTGTTTCAATCTCTGGAAATATTTTTTGTTGCAGTTTACTGTTAAAGGCTGCTAATACAATATTTCATACAAGGTTACTTATGAAGCACATTGACGTTTAAAAATCACCATGCTATGCTTTTGCAGCAGTGTAATTTTTTTCCAACATAAGATTAAATTGCAAAATAAATGAATTACTTAGAGTGGCATGGCCCCCATTTTGCCACCCTTCTCTTGAAAATTGCTTATTAATATGAAAAAAGAAGTTGGAAAATAGCCTGTTTTACTTTATGTATAGCGTTTTGGGGCCTCAAAGCCTGCAGAGCCAGACTAGCTGCACATTTTAGATTGTGTTGGCAAGCGGGGACGATGACCTTTCTGACCTGCATCTCAAGGCTATTATTAATCGCTAAGTAACCTGGTAAAGCCAAACAAATTTGTTTCCATTGAAAGGATCTCTATCTGTGTCTGAGAATTTGTGCTGTACCAAACAAACCTCATTAACTGTGTCCATTTTTGACAAAGAACTAGGAGTTGGAGAGATTGGCGACCTTTCTTTGTCCTTAAGGTAAAGATTTCAGAGTCACTGCATGTAGGTACACAAGCATTTTTACTTGGAAACTCTTTGTTCTATATCAATCAATCATAAACAAATGAATAAATAGACAATGTATATAGTATCAACTTTGTTATTTTATTTTATGCCACTTTACCTTCAATATCAGTGTATGATCCATGTTTTACATATTTAATACTATTTCTTGTTCCTTTTTGATTAGAGAGTCCTCTATTCAGCTTTAGTACTGCTATCTATTACTGATGAAATGTCTATCAACATATTACTACAGTTTATTCATGTTCTTATATACTCATGTACTTCTTCCCAACAGTGGGTATGGAAGCTTTGTTATTTAGAACACAACTGGTGATGAAAACCCCCAAATAATGATAAAAATATAAATTTGTATTACAGATGCAATGATAATGGGATGCAAAATGTTTCCCATTGTCATTAATCTGAATTTACCAGATTACTTTGAATGAATGATTAATAATCATTATTTGCTGAAATTAAATTAAGTCTAAAATACTTGTTGAAGTTCAATGCAATTCATGCTCTTTTTAGACAGTACTATCATCCAAATCATCATGATCTGTCCTGATTATCACATGGCCTCATTAATGCTGTACCATAATCCATTTAAAAGTTTGAGGTTTCTTAAGCAGTTACAAATAATTTTCAACATACTTTTGCAGCCTACACATTTTGTCAGTTGTGCTAAAATATTTCTATCGTGCATTATACTGCTCTGTACAGTTGTACAGAACATGCAGACAATTCTGTCTCGGGCGTAACACCTCCCAAGATTATTCTCTCCTGAGAGGCAGTACAAAATAAGGGGTATGTAGTAGTCCAAACATTGCTTGACTGGGAAGCATAGATATTTTAGCATAAATATAGATTTATTCTAAAGCTATTTGAACCTGAAACTTTCATCTCTTTCACCATACTTTCAAGAATTTGAATAGGAGCAACAAAAGCAGAGAATCTAAAAGTAGTTGGACATGAATGTATTATTTCACACATTAGCAGACTAATACTAATACGTTATGCACTGTGCAGGGGGTTTCACTCTTACCATACAGAAAAATGTGTATAAGCATAAGTGATACTAAAGTCATAAACTTAGACTTCCAAATAGAGTTAGACTTCCAGATAGCTTACATGTAAATATGTTTATTGAGAAGTTTCATGTTCGTGACCTTCTACATATATATCTTCCCAGAGAAAACAAATCCAAATTCCATTAAAGTCAATTGAAAATTTGTTGAAATTAGATGATCTTTGGATTAAACGCTTACACTTACTGCCAGCCTTCTCTTTGTTCATACATATCTTAGGTTCATTGAGCAATAGTAAGCAATCTTTTCTTGGGACTATATGATATTATGAATACTAGCTATGATGCATGGTACTCTGTGGACTCCGGACCAAATTTGCTTCAGGATGACCCTTTCATGATTCAGTGTGAAGTGTGAGAATTGAATATGGGCAGATTGTTTGGCCTGCGTTTTTAATGCTTCACCAAATTTTTGGGGAGAAAAAAAGTTCTATAAATGCAAAACATGGTTTAGATTAATTCATAATCTTGTTCTATTTTTATAAATGATCTGTCTGTTGCATGCCTCATAGTTGGAATAGTACTGCTTATTAAACTGTTATAACTGAACAAGCGGGTAATTTTTTAGCACATAATCTTTTAATTATCTTAGAACTTATCTCAGTATATTAACAGCATCTACTGCCTCTTCCTACAAACCTGGCTTCCCATATAACCTTAGTCCAATCAGAGTTTCCCACACACAGATTTTTATGGAATTTTTTTGTAGAGGAAATGTGTGTAAGTTTTGACAAGTGTAGTGCCTTATCATGATCTGAAAATTGTTCAACAAATCAAAAGAATATAAATGTTTATTAATTGAAAACAGGCATAGCATTATGAACGTATGTGCTCAAAGCCCACAATTAAAAGTGATCTTGTGTAACAAATCTGTGAAGTAGCTATTGATTTGTTAATGATAAAATTATTTGTTTTGTATAGTTTGAAAATAAAACATTTTCATGTGACAAAGTAACCTATTGTTATTCTGATACTTCATTATGCAATAGGCAGTGGTGTTGGTTCCAGCTATGAGATGTAAATTCGGTTGACAGTGCTCCTGCTGTCTGTATAAAGGTTAAAAATACACACAAAATACTGTTCCCGGCACTTTTGGAAAGGTCTTCAATTGATGATTTCAGCAATATACAGATTTTCATAATTCTGCATAGAACTGCATCATTTTACAAATTCACACTGACCTACATTTATTGAACTAGATCAAACTGTTTGCATTCTGTTTGCATTTTCACTGGCATTCTGTGGTCCTTTGACCAGATAACCATAAAATTATAATATTAACTAAAGTAAAGGGCATCTGAGAAAATCAGCTATAAGTATAGTTGCCTAGAGTACCCAGAAAGAGTATGAAGTTATGGCGATTTTAAACAGTTCAGACCCCAAATCATAGAATTCCTACATCATAGGCAGTAGGCAACCTTAGCATAAAAGGAGATAACCTAAATTGATTTTACCTTCCTGACTATATATCATGTTCCCTACTCAAACAGAGAATATGGAATTGAAAATGAAATCAGTGGGACAATACTTTTGGTACACCACTGCATGCCACTTGATTTTACATTACATCGGTGTAGGTGAGAATGGAATATGACCTGCCATGATAATATAATTTGACTTA